AAAAAAAAAAAAAAGGAGAAAGTGTGGAGGCAGGAAGAAATGAGATGCATTAGGGGCAATGGGTGAATCAGCTTGGCTACAATTGAATGGGTTATATTGGGGGAATGGTGAGAAACTAAGTTACTGTGTGAGGAGATTAGTAGTTAGTAGGAGTTATCAGAGGGGCTTGGTCACCCTCAAAAAAGCTTGGGAGCCCAGCTCTCATGCACTGGGTAATAGAGAAGGGAATTCATGATGATTGATGACTTGGGCATGGAACTGCTCAGGTACTTTATTTAAGTAACCACAGCCACCTGGTGAGATAGGCATTGCTACCCTACTCTCATCGTACAGATGATGGATACTGAGACTTGGAGAGGTCAGGGGATTTGCCCAAGGTCACTGTCAGTTGGTAATAAAAGCAGGATAGCATCCTGGATCTACTGACTATAAAGCCGTGCTCTTTTCTCAACGCTATGTTGTTTTCCCTGATACTGCTGGAGTTACTTGGTCAGGGGATTGATGAGGTGAAAATGTAATTTTGGGAAAATTGATCTGGCAATGATGTTTACATGGGTTAGTGGCAGAACCTAAGAATGCACTGTAATCCCTCAAGTGTGGTCCATGGACCGGCAGCTTTGGCATCACCTGGGAGCTCATTAGAAATGCAAACTCTCAAGCCCTGGATCTGCTGAACCAGCATCTACATTTTAACACGATTCATAAGTGATTCTTTTGTGTGCTGCAGTTTAAGAAGAACTGCTATAATTCTTTGAGCATGGCTTGATGAGATGTTGGAGTGTGAGAACAACACACTCAATTAGTTGAAAAACTGACTGAGAGACTGGTGGATGAGTTAGCAAAACTTGGGCACTGTAAAGATGTGGGGAGGGAAAGGAGAGAATACAGTGGCAAATGCCTTGGAGATTGTAAACCCAAGGGACTGGGAAGATGGTAATACTGCTGAAAGAAATAAAGAGGTTGGAATTGGCTTCTGGATTGAGAGGGAAGATGAAAATTTTAGTGTCTAACATGCTGTGTTTCAGGAGATAGTTGGAAAAGCAAATGAAGATGCCTGGCCGTTGGAGGAGATCAGTGCTGGGAAGGCAGATTAAGGAATCAAGGACAGGTGTAATGGTGAGATAAGATCATTGGTGATTTCTCCAGGGGTTCAAGGAGAGATGAGAGGACAAGGACTATGGCCAATGTTTAAGGCAAAACCGGAATAGCTTCCAGCCAATGGTTTGCAATACCTGTAGTCCATAGTTGATTTCCTTGGTGTCAAAGGAATAGTTGACCAGGGATGCTTCTCCTTTCAGTATTATTTCATAGGTGGGCCCTCCTTCCACTTCACACAGAGCTTTTGCACGTGCAGAGATGTCACAGTGTCCATAGAAGGTAAAAGATACCTGGTGGCTACTGTGTGGCTGCAACACTCCATAAAGGGGCAAAATATCAAACACCTGCAGTAGAAGTTCTATATGAGAGCACTATCTGAATGAAGGGACTTCAAAGATTAAATTAATTCCTGACTTTAATCAATGACTCCATGGAAGGTAACTAGCCAAGCACCCTGAAAAGATAGGCATTTATTACCTGCTTTTAATGATGGTAATGATGGCAATGGTGCCGGGCGAGATTTAAATTTCTAAAGTGGGGCAGGTGTTAAGTAAGGAAAAAACCCACTGGGTGTTACGTACCTCTTCTATCCCAAGGGATAGCATTTCATCGTGTTCAAAGATCCATAAGGATTCATGAAACTCCACCTGGCTCTGGCTTGGGCATACTCTTTCTGTTTCAGCAGAATTCACTTTTAATGCCTAGAAATTAGAGTTGTGAGGAAAAGCTAGCAAGCTTTATGAAATGGGTCATCAATGTGCTCCTCCCCATCATTGACAGAAAAATGAAGTATATCGTATATGATCATAAAAACACTACTTTTTTTCCCTAAGGTGACAATTGGACAAGTACTCAAAGAGGTACACACAAGAATGTTTACTGCAGTGTTATTTATAATGGCAAAACTTTGGAAGCAAACCAAATGTCTATTAATAGGGGATCACTTTAAACAAAGTGTGTGTGGTACCTCTCTTCATGGAGGTTGATGCAATGTATGTTTATAGATCAGGAATGATATTCACAATGTATTACTAAGTGAAAAGCAGTTCCCTTTCATGTAAAATGATATATGCCTATGTATCTGAGGAGCTCTGGTGGCGCAGTGTTTAAGAGCTTCCCTGCTAACCAAAAAGTTGGCAGTTCAAATTGACAAGTGGCTCCTTGGAAACCCTATGGAGCAGTTGTACTCTGTCCTGTAGGGTTGCTATGAGTTGGAATAGACACGACTGCAACGGGTTTGGTATTTTTGGTCTTATGTATCTGAAGGCTGAGTGTGTGTAAATTCATTCAGAGATTGGCATACACAAACAGATATCTGTGAGTTTTTTGCTAAAATTTCAGTAGCATTTTTCTCTGAGTGTTGGGATTTGGAGGATTTTTTCTTTTGCATTCCAGTTATTTATGACAAACATCTTCCAAAATAGGAAAAAAAAGAATTAACACTTAAAAGCCAAGTGTTTTATATACACACACATACTCATTCAAAAAATTGGAAAAATACAGAATGATTCAAAGAGAAAAATAAAAATCAATCATTAGGCTGTACTCTGTATATACCTGTGTGTATATATACATATGTATTTGTATCCTGATTCTTCAGTTGACCTTATGCATGCCTTCCTATGTGGTTGAATAGTCTTCACACGCATCATTTAAAAAATATTTATGTGGCACAGGTAAATAATTGACTACTGTATTTTCACACAGATAACATGGGGCTTCTACGTTTATTTGCCAAAAGTCCCCTCCCCCTCAAGGTATTTTCGTTAGCGTGCTATGCTAATTTTTTTTTGTGCTTTAGGTTAAAGTTTACAGCTCAAATTAGTTTCTCATACAAACATTTATATACACGTTGTTATGTGACCCTAGTTGCTATCCCTATAATGTGACAGCACAGTCCTCCTTCCTACCCCGGATTTCCTATGTCCATTCAATCAGCTTCCATCCCTTTCTGCCTTCTCATCTCACCTCTGGACAGGAGCTGCCCATTTACTCTAGTGTATCTACTTGAACTAAGAAGCACACTCTTCACGAGTATCATTTTATGTCTTATAGTCCAGTCTATGCTTTGTCTAAGAGTTGGCTTTGGGAATGGATTTAGTTCTGGGTTAACAGAGAGTCTGGGGGCCATGTCTTCTGGGGTTCCTCCAGTCTCAGTCAGACCATCAAACCCAGTTCTATTACTAGAATTTGATTTCTGCACCCCACTTTCCTCCTAGTCCATCAGAGTCTCTCTGTTGTGTTCCCTGTCAGGGCAGTCACTGGTGGTAGCCAGGCACCATCTAGTTCTTCTGGTCTCAGGCTGATGGAGTCTCTGGTTTATATGGCCCTTTCTGTCTCTTGGGCTAATATTTTCCTTGTGTCTTTGGTGTTCTTCATTCTCCTTTGCTCCAGGTGGGTGGGGGACCAACTGATGCATCTTAGATGGCCGCTGACTAGCTTTTAAGACCCCAGACACCATTCACGAAAGTAGGATGCAGAACATTTTCTTAATAAACTTTGTTATGCCAATTGACCTACATGTCCCCTGAAACCATGGACTCCAGACCCCTGCCCCTGCTACACTGCTCCTCGAAGTGTCTGGCTGTATTCAGGAAACTTCTTAGCTTTTGGTTTAGTCCCGTTGTGCTGACTTCCCCTGTATTGTGTGTTGTCCTTCCCTTCACCTAAGATAGTTCTTGTCTACCATCTAGTTAGTGAATTCCCCTCTCCCGCCCTCCCCACCCTGGTAAACTTATGTGTTTAAACCTTTTCTTGAGTTCTTTTAATAGTGGTCTCATACAATATTTGTCCTTCTGTGATTGACTAATTTCACTCAGCATAATGCCTTCCAGATTCATCCATGTTATGAAATGTTTTGAGGATTCATCGTTGTTCTTTATCATTGCGTAGTATTCCATTGTGTGAATATAACATAATTTGTTTATCCATTCATCTGTTGATGGGCACCTAGCTTGTTTCCGTCTTTTTGCTATTGTAAACAGTGCTGCAATGAACATGGGTATGCACAGAACTATTCGTGTGATGACTCTTATTTCTCTAGGATATATTCTAAGGAGTGGGATTGTCGGATTGTATGGCATTTCTATTTCTAGCTTTTTAAGGAAGAGCCAAATTGATTTCCAAAGTGGTTGTACCATTTTACAGCAGCGTATTTAAGTGTTCCAGTCTCTCCACAACCTCTCCAACATTTACTATTTTGTGTTTTTTGGATTAATGCTAGCCTTGTTGTGGTGAGACGGTATCTCATTGTAGTTTCGATTTGCATTTCTCCAATGGCTAATGATCCTGAGCATTTCTTCATGTATATATTAGCTGCCTGAATATCTTCTTTGGTGAAGTGCCTGTTCATATCCTTTGCCCATTTTTCAATTGGGTTAGTTGTCTTTTTGTGGTTCAAGTTTTGCAGTATCTTGTAGATTTTAGAGATTAGACCCTGATTGGATATGTCGTAGCTGAAAATTTTTTCCCAGTCTGTACATTGTCTTTTTACTCTTTTGGTGAAGTCTTTTTTTTTTTATTTTATTTTATTGTACTTCAGGTGAAGGCTTACAGAACAAATAGTTTCTCATGAAACAGTAGTAGACATACTTGTTTTATGACATTGGTTAACAACCCCACAACATATTAACCCTCTAACCTCTCACCCTTTTTTTTTTGGTGAAGATACACATAGCCAAAGATACACCGTTTCAAAAATTTCTACATACACAGTTCAGTGACATTGACTATGCTCTTCCAATTGTGCTGTT